GTATGTTGTTACGTAATATAAATATGAAATTTGTAGGCACTTAATTAGGTTATTCGTAATGGTGAAAGGAATAATCTTCGATTTGAAAATAACGTATATGCTTGGCTTTATGACTTCCCTGCCGCATTCCGCGCACAGTAATTTTTGCAGATTAGAAGTCTGCATTTTCAAAATATATTCTCAATATAGACAATACAAGGCAAGCACTTAAAAGTTCTTCTTCATGGACATTTCGTGGGCCTTGCGCAAACGTTGCCTTAATTCGCTTGGAAAACGTTCGTAGCATTTCTTGCAAACGGGCTTCTCATCGTATTCGTAAAATTTTGATTTCTGCGTCATTTTCATATCACAAACGGAGCAAGCGAAATGATGCACACACCAAGCTTTATTGAGTGCAGTGAATACTATAATTAAGCCAAATCAAAAATATTAGTATATTGTGCATGTCAGCCAAAATTGTATAAAATTACCATCGCCTGCTATGACTTGATTGCAAACGAAGCATAAATTGCCGAACAATTGGTGGTAATGTGTCTCACAATAGGCCAAACCGCGCTTTTCGTAATGCCGATGGCCCAAGAACGGTTTTTCGCATTTGGCGCACACAAAATGCTACAAAAAAAAACGCACAATAAGAAAACAACGAAATATGAACGTTATAGCTTTGTTAAAAAATACGAAAGTGTGAAAATAAAATAAAATTAAAAATTCACCTCCACATGCCAATGCTTGCCTAAAGCGGTGACAACTCGTTCTTCGATCGGACGTCGGCATGCACCACAAATCGGTATACCCATCTTGTCGTGGCAGCGTAAGCAATATAATTCGTTCTAAAGATATTAACAAAAAATGGAAATACTAGCAGATGTATATGCGTGTGTAATAGTGTAGCCTCAGGTCCTTACCATATCGTTGGCCGTTAAGCCCGGTCGGCTCTTGACTTCACGTGCTGTCGAGTCCAGCTCCACACCACAGGCAGTGCAGTTAAAATGATAGCCGTGATAGACTTCGCCACGAAAACGCAAGGGCGCGTCGTCTATTACGCCGCTGCAATTATGTAGAAATTCGTCAATTTTTAAAATACTTCAAACACAAAAGAAAGCCTTTACTATCTTCAGCAATTGCATTCAACTTACTGACACTTATGGCACATATAACGACCCGTAATCTCGGCCTTCACTTTGGCATTGCACTCATGGCATAAGGCACGATTCTGATTGCGTATAAAGCCGGTATCGGCCAACTCTTTGGCACACATTTGGCAGCGGAAACACTGTGGATGCCAGCTAGCGCCCATTGCTTTGATAACACGTCCAATTACGAACTCGCCACACTTATTGCAACACGGTGCGAAAAGCACATGGAAATCACGCTCACAGTATTTACGTCCTTCGAATTCGTAGAAGATGCCATCTTCAAAAGGTCGGAAGCATTGCGCACAACTGTAAAAACAGGAGATGTTTAAATAATAAAAGTGTAGATTTTTATTTTGTAGTTTACAACTTACACAAAACACTGGGTGTGCCAGAGTTCACCGTTCGAGTTGACGATCTTCTCGTTGGGCTCGAATCCGTCCGCACAGCGGGCACAATGCATAGCAGCTAGCGACATGTCAGCTGCTTGTACTCTAAAAAGAAAAAAAATGTATATATTTGTTGTTATCCTTTCACAGGAAATTCGAGTCAATTATTGAATTATTATACTTTATAAGTTACATTTTTATTTTTGAAGGCATATTTAATGTTTGAAACTCTTAAATGTTCACTTTCAACGTTTAGTTTACACTAAACTGATAAGTAACTTCGCCGACACCGACAAGTCTTGAAAACTCTTTTTTATCGTTTGTTTCTTTATTTTTCACATGCTAAGTGATTCATTTGTATTCCCTTCGCATACGAAATACTTATGGTATTCACAAGTGACCGACCTTCAACTTTGTGTAAAAATATTTTTTGATAAGCTTCTACATATGTAAATACATACATTTGTTTTATCTATAAAAAATATGCTGCGTCACTTCCTAAAAATAAATAAATGTGCATACTTATGTATTTATGCCTCAACGATAATTTTTGGGTATGGACTTATGCATTGCTGGAGTTTATAAGCAATTGCTTAACTTAAGCTTAAGCAACTTAAGTTACCTTAGTGTTTGTAGAAGTACCTATACATATATGTACATACATATATGATATGATCCTTGACCGTAACTCATAGTGTCCGTAAGCGTAAGTTGTTGATTAACTTTGGACCACGACGATAGCAAAATAAAAATAATATGTCTTACATCGAATGCAAAGTATAGTCTGTTTTTAGTCCCTTTATGCTTATGCTCTTTTTCATTTCTTCAAGTTCATCAAGGTAAGATGACTCCTCTGTCGGGTTGCGGATTTCATACCAAGAAGCTGAGCTTCACAATATACATACATATATTTTGTTTAAAATGTGTAACCGCTATAATCGGATCTTCACTATGATATTAAAAAGTTGACTTCTATTTTGGACGACGACTACTTTTACCTGTTTTTTTTTTGTTTAATAGAGCTTTGATAAACAATGAAATATGTATTTTATGCAAAGATTAATGTACAAATATGAGCAATTGCATCACTACCATGAACACCAACAAACCACCAGGTGATTTTAATAATTTATGAAAATATTTTGATTTTCGCTTGCGTTTCTAAACCGAAAGTTGTTCGCCCACCGAGCACATAGAAACTAAATCAGGGCAAACTGAAGGTGCGCTACTAAAATGGATAACGGCCGTGTGCTGCACGGAATGGCGTGACCATCGAGAATATTGCAAATAGAAAATACAACTCGCTCAATGTGTCAAAGCTTTGCGGTAGAGCGATGGTGGCAAGCGCGCTCCACAAACAAATGAAGCCTTTATTACTCGCATTCACATAAGTATATATATATGTACATATGATTGTGAGCTCCAACATAATTTATTGCAATTCAGTGACATAAAAAGGGCAGCTGATATGTATGGGTACAATGTCATATAGTTATATGCATATGCATATGTATACAATCATACATAGTACGTGTACTTTGTGTATCCATTTGTAAAGACATTGATGTGACTCCCCGTCAGAAAGAAGATTTCGGTCTCGGTAATAATAATAATAATAATAACTTATGGTATACATATGAATGCATATTTGTACATACTGCGGTTATGCCTGTGGGGAGATTACTCACAAATTGGCAGAAGTTCAAAGAATTTAAAAACATAATTTTTCTCAGACTGACGATGTACATATGTATGTATGCATGTTCATGTGTAATGTATTAGGGCTGGGAGGTCTATCCGGATATTCGAATCGGGGACCGTAACGGTTATGATCTTTATATTAAAAACTAAGATTAAATATGTAAAATTGTATTTATATTTCTCCGATTAAATTTAACCGTTAATTTATGATTTTTATTTCTCCGATTTTTCTTTAACCTTCATTTTCAGTTTTATTTATCATCGAATATAATTTTAAAAGTCATAAAAATGCAGACATAATTTTCTCGGTTAAAAATTATCGAAAAAATAAAAATCCAAAATTTTACGATTGTTATTGATTTAAGAAATAATGATATAAAAATATTGATATTTAATAGGTATTTTCGGTTTCTGATAAAAAAAATTCTAATATCAGGTTAGCAAAATGAACGGACATTAATTAACCGGGTATCCGGATTTTCGATACCAATTATTTGCGTAATAATGAAGTGTACT